AAATTTCGGGCATACGCCCAAGTCCAAAATCACCATCCGGACCTACCAGAACCATCGAAACTCCAATCCGAGTTCAACTACTCAAAAGTCAAACCTTAGTCAATTCCTTCAACTTCGAGCTTCTCAAATGGGAGTCACTCCTAAAAATCCTTTCCGAACCTCTCAAAACCCGAACCGATGATGCTCGCAAGTCATAATACATTGAGTGAAGCTACTCATGACCTCAAACTGTCGAATCGGACGCAATTGCTCAAAACGATCAATCGGGTCGTTACATCAGGAAGCCAAGTTCTATGTAATCGAAGGGGATATGAGATATAATGCTTTGCTCGAAAGACCGTGAATTCACAACATGAGAGAAATACCCTTGACATTATACCAGGTGCTAAAATTCCCAACCCCCGAAGGAATCAAAACAGTTTACGGTGAACAACCGGCCGCTAGGAAAATGTTCGCGGTCAATGAGGTGATCCCGGCATCCACACTCTCGACATCGAAACATCTGAATTTGGTGGTCAAAGATGGGGCCAAATAGCAGTCACTGAAACCAGCCTCGACAGAATCGAAGGAGCAAGGGGTAGACGAGGATGACAATAACGGAGTCCCTAGATATTTCATATCCCCCAACGATTCTGACGCTGAAATCAATGGTCGAGGAACTAGAGGAAGTCGTACTAAGTGAACACTTTACCGATCAAAAGGTATACCTGGGCACGGGATTAAACCCCGAGCTCAGAAAAAAACTCATTCATTTTCTTATAGCTAACGAAGATTGTTTCGCTTGGTCCCACCTCGATATGACAAGGATCCCGCCGGAAATAACCACTCACAAGCTAAGCCTGGATCCGAAGTTCCACCTGTTCAAGCAGAAGAGGAGACCCCAATCCAAGGTCAAACATGCTTTCATCAAGGACGGGGTATCTAAAGTCCTTAAAATAGGGTCAATTCGGGAGGTTAAATACCCGAATTGGTTAGCGAACGTAGTGGTAGTCCCTAAACAGGGAATAAATTAAGAATGTATGTATACCATAAGGATTTGAATAAGGTATGTGCCAAGGACTCCTTCCCTCTGCCCAACATCGATCGCATGATCGATGCCACGGCCGGCCACGAGATCCTTAGTTTTCTCGATGCCTACTCCGGGTACAACCAAATACGGATTAACCCGGATAATCAGGAAAAAACCTTCTTTATCACTAAGTACGGCACATACTACTATAACGTGATGCCATTCGAATTAAAAAATGCCGGTGCCACTTACTAACGCCTAGTAAACCGGATGTTCGAGGAACAAATAGGAAACTTAATGGAGGTTTACATTGACGATATGTTGGTTAAGTCCTTGCAAGCATAGGACCATTTGAAACATTTACAGGAAACCTTCAACATATTGAAGAAATAAAATATGAAGCTAAACCCGGAGAAGTGTGCATTCGGAGTTAGATCGGGTAAATTCCTCGGATTCATGGTATCCAACAGGGGAATCAAGATCAACTCCGACAAGATCAAAGCCATCGAAGATATCACAATTGTGGACAACGTAAAGGTCATGCAAAGGCATATCGGACGCATAGCCGCCATGGGGCGATTCATCTCGAGGTCCTCCGATAAGAGCCGCAAATTCTTCTCATTATTCAAGAAGAAGAGTAACTTCTCGTGGACCCCGGAGTCCCAACAGGCCTTGGAAGAGCTCAAGCGATATCTATCGAGCCCATCGCTGCTCCACACGCCGAAGATAGACGAATAGTTATACCTATACCTGCCAGTATCGGAGATAGCAGTAAGTGGAGTCCTGGTCCGGGAATAAAAAGGTAAGCAATTTCCAATTTACTATGTTAGCAGAACTTTAGGTGAGGCTGTAACTAGATACCCTCACCTAGAGAAATTGGCGCTCGCCTTGCTAAGCACCTTTAGGAAGTTGAAACCGTATTTTCAATGTCACACCATATGTGTTGTGACTACTTACCATTGAGAAATGTAATTCATAAACCCGAACTCTCGGTATGGTTAGCCAAATGGGTCATTGAGGTCAGTGGGTACGACATTGAGTATCAGCCCCGAACCGCCGTTAAATCTCAAATTTTGGCAGACTTTGGGGTCGACTTTAGGCCGGATATGGTACCCAAAGTCGAAAGAGAGTTATCATTAAACTCAGGAACTTCTTCGGGAATCTGGACCCTCTTTACGGACGGCGCCTCGAATGCAAAGGGGTTTGTACTTGGCATCGTGTTAAAGCCACCAAAGGGCAATGTAGTTAGACAATCTATTAGAATTGTAAAATTGACTAACAATGAGGTCGAGTATGAGGCCATGATTTCAGGTCTCGAACTAGCCAAAAGCTTGGGGGCGGAGGTGACCGAAGCTAAGTGTGATTCCCTCCTTGTGGTAAAACAAGTTAATGGAATGTTCGAGGTAAGAGAGGAACGAATGCAGAGATACCTGGATAAATTGTAGGTAACATTACACCGGTTCAAGGAATGGACCCTACAACACATACCACGTGATCAAAACAATGAGGCTGATGCCCTTGCTAATTTGGGATCGTCGGTAGAAGACGATAAGCACAATTCGGGTCAGTCGTACAACTAATGAGGTTGGTAGTCGAAGAAGGCCATGCCTAAATAAACTCAACGAGCCTAACATGGGACTGGAGAAACAAATATATAGAATATCTGAAAATCGGAAAATTTCCCTCGGATCCAAAGGAATCAAGGGCCATACGTACGAAGGCAGCCCGGTTTTGTTTGTTCGAGGATGGAACATTACTCAAAAGAACGTTCGATGGCCCGATCACGGTATGTTTAGGACCTAGAGATACCGAATACGTTCTGAGGGAAATTCACGAAGGCACCTGCGAAAATCATTCAGGTACCGAAGCACTGGTCCGAAAATTAATCATGGCCGGCTACTAATGGATCGACATGGAAAGGGATGCAAATGAGTTTGTACGAAGATGTGATTAGTGTCCAAGGCATGCTCCCATGATTCATCAAGCCGGGGAGCTGTTGCATTCGGTCTTGTCACCATGGCCATTCATGAAATGGGGGATGGACATCATTAGCCCCCTTACATGGGCACTCGGTAAGGCTCAATTTATTTTTTTTATGACTGACTATTTTTCTAAGTGGGTGAAAGCCCAGGCATATGAAAAGGTCAGAGAAAAGGAAGTCATCGATTTCATTTGGGACCACATCATATGTCGGTTCGGAATACCGGCCAAGATCGTGTGCGACAATGGAAAATAGTTCATTGGCAGCAAAGTAAGCAAGTTTCTCGAAGGCTATAAGATCAAAAGGATCCTATCAACACCCTACCACCCTAGTGGGAACAGATAATCATAATCCACCAATAAAACCATAATCCAAAACCTCAAAAAGAGGTTGACCGGCGCCAAAGGAAAGTGGAAGGAGATCCTGCCCGAAGTCCTGTAGTACCGGGGCCACATCGCTCTCGCTGGTTTATGGTGCCGAAGCTCTAATACCGGTCGAAGTCGGAGAACCGAGCCTCAGGTTCCTATATGCTAACGAAGAAACAAATAACGTGACCCTGAACACGAGCCCAAAACTACTGGACGAACGGCATGATGCCGCCCTCATCCGAATGGCAACTCAGAAACAACGAATCGAGAGATACTACAATCGAAGAGCCAACCTTAGACACTTTAATGTTGGGGATTTGGTGTTAAGGAAGGTCACGTTGAACACTCGGAATCTGAATGAAGGAAAATTAGGACCGAATTGGGAAGGTCTGTATCAAATTATCGAGATCACCGAAAAAGGGTCGTACAAACTCAGGACAATGAACGGTAAACAACTACCGAACAACTGGAACATAACTCACTTGAAGCGATATTACTGCTAAGGTACGACCCCGATCACCTTTTTTTACTCATCTACATTTTGAACTAATACTTGCAGGTACCCAACACAATTTCCTAAACCTGAAAGCACGCGTCGCAATCTTTTTCCCTTGATCCGATTTTGTCCCAAATGGGTTTTTCGGCAAGGTTTTTAACGTGGCAACAGTGGATCGTGCTAACTTAGAATCAAAGTCAACAGTATTCGAGGCTTCTCTACAATAAGCCCTGAACACTAGGGGGCATAACCCGTAGGAAATGATTTTTGTTCTCGAACAATCTAGGCTCGGTCGATAGGATTCTCTGTAAGTGCCAAAAGGTCAAATGAATCGTGCCTACATAGATCGCCCGAGCTTGGACACAAAAAACACGTTTAACTTTGTATACTACGCACGAAATTGAAAGGAAGTCTCTACCTTATGGATAAAAATTTCTACCCTTTGAAAGATATTTCATTTGATTCCCCTAAGACATCGAGCCTAAGGGTTATTGAAACCCGAGGGCATGATGCTTAGTTGGCATTGCGCGAACTAAAAGGCTACGGCCACTCAGGGATATTGAAACTCGAGGGCACGAAGATTATTTGGCATTGCTCGGACTTTAAAATGCTACGGCTAACCCTATTCGGGGACTGTTATCTTAGCCAAGTCCGGATAACTCGAGGTGATAAACCCACTGGTGACACCCGAACTAAACGGTTACGGCCATTCCAAGATATTGAAACCCGAGGGAACGATGCTTATTTGGCATTGCCCGAACTAAAAGGATACGGTCATTTTGGGATATTGAAACCCCGAGGGCACGATGCTTATTTGGCATTGCCCGAAGTAAAAGGCTACGTCCATTCCGGGATATTGAAACCCGAGGGCACGATGCTTAGTTGGCATTGCCCGAACTAAAAGGCTACAGCCACTCCGGGATATTGAAATCCGAGGGCACGAAGATTATTTGGCATTGCCCGAACTTTAAAAAGCTATGGCTAACCCCATTCGGGGACTGTTATCTTAGGCAAGTCCGGATAACTCAAGCTGATAAACCCACTGGGTGACACCCGAACTAAAAGGCTACGGCTATATTAAAACGCATAACAAAAAATACCATCGGCAAGTTATAATCTAAAATATTATAAGTATTTTGGGAGAAAGTTTCCGGTCATATCGAATCCCCACGATGCCTTAAGTAAAATAAAATCAAAGGAAAGGCTTGTTTGAAACTCCGAACATGACCTAACTATTTAATGCTAAGGCATTTTTAATCTTTGCAAAACATAAAAAGTAAGGCGAAGGAAAAACTCATGAATTATCGAAGGGAAATAGAAAACTTGTATTATCTATATAGTCTTTACAAAGGCCAAACGGCCTTGACAAAAGGAACAAAATACAAAAACACAAAAAGAAAAACAAAAGCAAAGCGAACAGAGGCACTTAAAAGGTCTGGTCTTTACCGGGACCCGCCTCATTGCCGAGATCTTCTGAGTCTTCTCCACTTTCAAACCCGCTCGAACCCTGGGAGACTTCTTCATCCTCGGGATAAGCCATCTTCTTGGCCTCGGCTTCGAGCCACTTGGCATTCTCAATTCCGGCCGATAAGTCAAAACCCCAAGCATGAATCTCCTCAAGGGCCTCCCTTCAGGATTTCCACTTCATGTGCTCGACGATATTTTTTACAAGGCTCTGGGACGCTTCGGCATTGGCCTTATATTGGGCCACCATCTCATCAGCATCAGCTTTAACCACCACGGCCACTAACTTGGTCATTTCAAACTCCTTAGCCAGGTTTTCTCGATCAGAGGCGGCCGAACCTAACTGAGACCAGAGTTTTTCGACCTTTTTGGCCTGAACCTCGATATTTTCCTTTGCCGCTCTGAGCTAGAACTCAGCCAAAGTTAGTTGCGCTCGAGCAGTCTCTATTTCTAAGGCCAGACGGTCCATTTTGCCTCTAAATTCTTCAGTCTCGGCCTTGATTGCATCCATCACAGCTCGGAGTTGGTCGATCCGATAGATCTTCTGTTAGACCTGCGGATTTCGACCATCAGTCACCGAATCTAGTTCATCGTCACTAACATCAAATATTTTTACCTGCTCGACCAGGTCGGTAAGATCCTTCCGAGCAACCTCCAGCTCAGCTCGGAGGCTCTTAGCCTCCCCTTCAAACTGCTCACTGAGAAGTTTATAAGCATCTCCCTTCTTAGTGAGCCCTCGAACCTCGGCTTCAACTGTCTCAGCTCGTCCCGGTACCGTAGAAAAGTCTCATGGTGAAGCACCGAGGCCTACAAGCATGAAGAAAAATGTTAAGTTATCTATGAAATAGCCTAAGTACAAATTGAAAACCATCAAGGAAAAAATTACGTTACCCGGTTCAGTGCCTGTTGTGCTTCGTTGAATAAGCAAGGTGCATCCACCTCATTCATCTTGGCCTGGTCATCCTCGTTCACCAGACACCGAAGATAACTGGCCACCCCTACGGGGGCAGAGAGGACTCGGGCGTCCTCCGAAAGGGAAACAGTAATGGAGCACTTCCGTTCGGGATCAACACTCGGAGCAGGGAATCTATTGACCAATTTCGGGCTCGAGGAAGGCTCGCTTTCTTCCGAGGATGGGCTCTTCATCGTTATCACTAAGTCACCCAATCCGGTGATGTCCTCTGTGGCCGTCAAATCCACGCTGTCGAAAAATCCGCGGAAGGGGTTGTCCGCTCCATGGGTCCCCTCGATGGGGCGTTCTTTCACCGTTTGGGCCTCGTTATACATGGACTCTGTAAACGAGGGTGAATCGGTGATCTCTATCACACCGAGTTCTTTCTTCGGGGCATTGCCCATATCCCGGGAAGCTTCGGTCTCGGCCTCCTCCTCGGCCTCCCTAGCTTGATGAAGATCGGTCACGCCTTCCTCTGGTTCGGAGGCCCATTGCCCTTCGAGATGCGATGGCACATTGGCCACTAGATCGATGGCTTCTCCTTCTCCTTTGGATTCATCCCTCAGCCGATAGAGTGAATTAGGAGACGGTGCTCGAGCACTGGTGCTTTCTTTGGATTTACGCACCAACTTTCTCCTTGGATTCTTTTTCTCGAAGTTCGGAGAACTCGGGGCCCTTTTTCTTTTCTTCTTTTCACCCTGTCTCGGAGCAGGGGACTCGGTGGGGAAGTCATCATTACCGGATGGAGGCCTCATTTTGACATCTTTGGATAAGCCTACAAAAAGAAATAAGACGAGTAAAAGGAAATCAAATATCGCTCATGAAAGGGATCTCACCATGTGAACGGGCCTCCCATCGGCCCTTTGAAAGATCGCGCCATGAATGCTCGGAATAGGTACTTTATATTATAATGCCCTCGACCCACTCCTTGAGTCGAGGAACTGCATTCGGGATCCGAGCGACAGCTATACCACCACATAACACTGATTATAAGGAATGAAAAAAGATGATAAATAAGATCTTGGAAGTAAAATTATACTTACGTGACATGTTCCACTTCTCAGGGAACGGCATGTGCTCGACTAGGATCAAGTCTGAGGTCCTCACTCGTACGAAATGGCCTAGCCAGTATCGATCCCGATCTTCATCGATACTCGAGAACGGGGCCATACTAGCCCGGTGGGCGAGCTTGATCAGTCCCCCCGGGTATAGTCGGGGACTGTATAAACGCATAAGGTGGTCGATAGTAAAAGGGTATCCTTCGATCTTGCTTACAAAGAAACGGATGAGGATTACGATCCTCTAGAAATAAGGGTGAATTTGATTGAGGGTTACCTCATATCTTTTCCAAAAATCGATAATAACCGGATCTAAGGGACCTAGCATTAAGGGATAAGTGTAAACACTTAAATATCCCTCGACGTGGGTGATGATGGCTTCGTCGGGTTTGGGGACCACTACATGTTTGTCGACCCAATTACCAGCCTTTTTGACCTTGGAGAGAATATCCTCGGTGATCGAGCAGATATACCTCGAGACCACCTCACACCGGCCTGGTACCGAGGAGGGCTTTTCGATCTTAAAATCAATATTAACCTGGCAGCAATAAATAACACCGGCCTGGTACCGAGGGGATGAACATTTTCAGAGGAGGTTCCGGTGCCGGTTCCTCGGTAGCAGTACACAAAACGTTTTCCTCGACAGCTGGTCGCGAGGTAGAGGGAGTTTATTTTTGGGGAACGAATTTTGAAGTCTTCGCCATTTCCTTAAGAATGGAAGAAAAATGAAGAAATGAAGGAATTTAAAGGAGAACAATTGATGATTGACGAGTGAGAACTCTTATAAAAGATCTCAAAAAAACATAATGTAAGAACTTGGAAGTGCTGAAATCTCTTATACACGAGGGCAGAAGGTTTGGATATAAAGTTTGAATGAATAAAGGAAGGGGAATTTATAGTTTTCCAAGCGACGGTTCACATCTGGGAGTGGCTGACCGGCAACTGACAAGCATTTAATGCCATTAAGACTAGGCTGACGGGACGTTTTAACTATTTTGTCGTTTATGTCACGGTATATCTAAGTGAGAATCGGGAGCTCATATCGTTTCTCGGCATCTACTCTCCGAAAAATGAGGGGACTATCTGTATACGGGTAAAATTGAGCTCGTAGTATGCCCTAACATCCAACATGATAGGCCAGGCTCGAGATATGGCAATAAAGGACTAAAAGATCGGCCCCAAGCCTTACCGGATTAGCAACCGGTGCCAAAAACCTGCCTTCGAGAATACCGAGGCCTTAACTCCGGAATCGATCCCGGCTCAAACGACCTCGAGGAAACATTGCCAACTTATCCGACAGCGGTCCGAAATTCCTGGGGCCGGCTAGATATTACGGCGAAAATCACGGGACATGTCAAAAAGGGACCGACAATCAGCAAATCAAGGACCTTTTGCCTTTTATAGAATAATAGAATAATACCTAAAAGTAGAATTCCTCTAATACATAAAGGGGGTCTGACAATTCATGAAACACATTGTAATATGCACTCATAAGCAATATACTATCATCATTCTCTTTAAGCTCTTATTCTTCTGTGTCTTGGAATCGATCAAAGTACATTCGACTCGAGGGTAGCTAACATTCCTAGGCTGAAATTATTCAATTCGTGTGGTTTGCATTTACTTTACTATTATTTATTTCAATTGCAATCTAATTTATCATTTTGTGTCAAGTTAAATCGCATATCCTCAAAACCACTCACAAATTCAATTGTTATCCGATTTCGAGGGTAAACCAAGCAAAACTATATAACTCTTTAAAGTTTCATATTTAGAATCAGTACGTCTACAAAAATTTAAAGTCTAGTGATAACGGTGAGTCTCTTCTATAATAGATGTGGATTGACGTCGGACTGACACCCTTCCTCCAATGTAATAGAATTTCGTATTTTTTTTTAAGAAAAGATCATTACAACATACTAGAATCACTTCAAATATGGTTTTAGCTAATTAAACAGAAAAGTAAACGTTTTTTAAAATAGAATCAGCAATTGAATTATCGTATTGTAGAGTTATCAGAATGTTATTCCCTAAGGAGGAAGCAAGAAGGGAGGATTTTCTTTACTTTACCGCCAGAACCTTCCTTTCATTTACGTAAACATCCTCAATTTTGTCCAAAGAACAATTTTTTGGCGCTCTTTTTGTTCCTTCTAATTGTAAAAATAATTTTATTTGAAGAGGAGACGATCCATGATAAAATTGTAATTTACAATTACATAATACAGGGGCAAGTTCTGCAACTCGAATCCAGAGAGTGCTGCTATCGATTGAGTACATTCACATCTAAAATTGAAAAAAATAAAAGACTCCGATTTAAAAGATAAAAATTTGGAATAAGTTATTTATTTCAATTTCTGTAAAACAAGCTAAACAGAGAGACATAATCAATCTGTCCTTCACTTTGTATATGATTTTCATGGGGGCTTTTAAATGTCTTATTTGCATGCTTACTTTTTTCCTTTAGTTCAAATAACCGTAAAACCAAGCCTTTTTTGTGAACCAAAGTACCAAGTCGTCTTTACATGGTTCGATAGTGTAACGTGAACCTATTACTATTTGATGAGTCAAACAAGATTTTCTTTGATCATGTTTTTATAATTTTTTTAATTATATTAAATTGTAACTATTGTGACTTACTTTTTATATAGTTATTAAATATGTAAATTTAAAAATTATGAAAATTTTATGGCTGACTTCACACCAAAAATTAATAAGTTTGACCATGAGAAGGTTCACATGACAGAAAGGGTAGTTATCATGGAATTCCTAATAGCTAAAACTTCTTCTTAAATGACAATTTATCCACATCCAATTCAACGAAAAGCTAATCGAATTGACTCGGAAAACAAAGAGTGGTGGCTGATCTTTCTTCTAAGTACCACATACACACAGTTTGCTCGAGGTGTTTGCAGCAGAAGTAAAAGTAATTGGTACGATTTAATGTAAAATCAGTAAGGACCATTATCGTTGTTTAACTTTTGCGTGAGTGCCTGTTTTTTGTTTTCTTTCTTCTTTTCTTTTTTGGATATGAACTCATAATGACAAATAATTATTTATTTACTTGTTTATTTCGTGTTAACACACCAGTCTATTGTCTTGGTTACCAAATAGAAGCTAGTTTTGACAATACTCGATAACTACTATATTACGACACTAGCTCCTCCCAGATTTCTCCCCCATGAAGCTGACATAACAGCAAAGTCGAAGAATGAGTAGCACAAAAGATTACACAGATTCAGATTCTTACATGCCAACTCCATAATTTGCAAGAGTTATAGCTCTGTTTGAGTGCGTTTATAGGTAAGGTTCTCTTTTCTTTTCCTTTGAGAACCATGGAATTGTAGAAGCAGTGAGTTGGAGACGACAAATATTGAGCTCAAAGCCATTAATCCTCCTGTCAGAAAAAAAGGTAACAGTGGTTAATTATCTTTCACAATATGTATATATATTGGCTATAATCTCCAGAGAATTTGTCACCAAGACAGAAAATAAGTGATAGGTAGCAGGGCATCTTGAATCCTTTGGACCAAGAAAGGCTGAACAAGCAAAATCAAAAATTGGATGTTATTTACCTGAAAGAGATGGTGTCATTGCAAAATCAAAATTTGGAAGTAGCACCCCAGCTGCAATGGGTATTGCGACAACATTATATGCAACCGCCCAAGACAAATTTTGATGAACTTTTGCCATAGTTGCCCGTGCAAGATCAAGAGCTTCCACCACCTGCCAAAAAGGAAGCATTTGCCAATTATAAGATATCCAGGTTGAATTTGCATTTCTGTTAGCAGGAAGGCACATTGTTATTTTTTCATCACATAGAAAATGCTGATATACACATAGTGGGAGATACAGTCTGCTTTCACTCTATTTGAGAAAAGAGTTACGTAGGTACAGTCTGCTTTCACTCTCCTGAACCTAACCATAGCTTTTTGACCATAATTCTCACGACTATAGTGTGAAACAAGCGTTCTGTATGTTATTATTTGTGCTATGATATTCAGCACTTTTACAAACAAAAAGTTTGAACCCATTTTCTTTTCCTTGATAAGGGAAATTCTGAATCCAGTGGAACTGTATTCTCATGGCTATTCTCATGACTATCCAGTGAAAAGCAAACCAGAAACAAGATATAAGAGGATAGTGATAAAATAATTGTATCTTCTTATATGACATAGTACCTTACAAACTTATAAAATAAAAATCGACTTGGTAACGGTTACACAATTTATATGGTTAACAGTAATAAGTGAAGACATGATTAAACATTTGATTAAAATTAAAAAAATAAACAAAAGCCTCTCTGTGATGACATGGAACAAAAAAAAAATTGTATGAATGATGATGACATGGAACATGTACCTGTGAAAGTTTATTTCCAAGGAGTATGATAGATGCTGCATTTGAAGCAGCAGTTTCCTGTCCTTCAACTTGCAAAGCAATCCCCACATCAGCAAGAGCAAGAGAAGGTGCATCATTAATGCCATCACCAACCTTCAGTATGCAAGAATTTCCAGTTAGATAGCTGTGCATAGTATCTGACAATTTAGCAAATCATATGCTCATACAGTAAAAAACCTAATACTCGTTGAGAGATAAATAGAGAAATGAAGAGCCCCAAAGAAAGAAAAGAACTATGACAACACTTGCTAGAGGGGCAAATAGGACAGCCCAATTACCGGATGATGTGTGCCATGAAGAAGTAGTTTCCTTAAAAGAGACGTGTAATTATAGAAGTCAATTTTTGTATATTATAAGCAGAGTTGTTTGGGAGAAAGGTAGCAGCCAATTGCACATGCTATTATGGACAAGATAACTTTTATATGTTCGAGGGACAAGTGGAAATATCAGGTTTCACCAGATAAATGCATTTACCATGGCAACATGGTGGCCAGAAGCTTGAAGAACTGAGATGGCGGCAGATTTCTGCTCGGGTGTCAAAGATGCATTGACAAATTTGTCTTTTATGCCAACCGTCTTTGCTACAGTTGCAACTGCCTCTTCCCTGTCTCCCGATAACAGTACTGTTTCAATTCCCTTGTCCTGAAGCCTTCAATTGGTAAGAATTTGAAAAGTGAGAAAGATATGAGAAAACTAAAGAAGAATAAAATTACAATGTTTTACTAGAGGAAGTTAGAAGAAAAGAATAAGGAATGCCCAATGGGAGGGTGGTGGAACAGATTTGGTGTGACGCATTACGTACTGAATCCATTGAAAATGCAATCTCATGGAAACATCTGTTAAATCTTTATGATCTGGGTTTCAAATATAAATAGAAGTCTTAAAGAGTCTGTAGAACTGCGAGAGGCAAGTCAATCTAAAGGCACATATAACTTCTTCAAAAGGCTGAAAAGTGAAAACCGGATGATAAACTCAAATTCCCACTTTATGGTAACTTCTTCAAAAGGATAGAATTAAGACGAAGCTAATGACTTACCACACATTAAAGAAGCAATGGTAACACATATGTAAAAAGGAGAAAATAGAGTGGGGTCATGGGGGACTAATGATGATTGCAGCTTCTAAAATGCATCTAAAATGGACATTTGAAATCATCTTCGTCAGAGAGTACCTTCTTATGGTAGACTCAGCATCCTCGCGCAATTTATCAGAGATCGCAATAGCCCCAATCACACCCTCTCCCTCCCGACCAACGTATACAACTGTGGTTGAATGGTTAGATGATTGACTGTCCTCTAATGATTTATGCATCACAGATTGCTCAAGAGTCCTCAAATCAGAAAGGTCTGCTTTTTGCTGGAAACGTTCTTGAACCCATTTCAGCTTTCCAATTGCAACCAAGAGGCCATTTACTTCTGCCATGGTTCCAGAGCCAGGTTCAGCTAATTGTCCACGTGTGACAGGGATACTCAAATTTAACGATTCTGCTTTGCTTATAATAGCATGAGCAATGGGATGTGATGCTGTTTTCTCCACTGCAGCAGCTATTTGAAGAATCTCTAATTCCTCATGACCCAAGGACGCTATAGCACAGACAGCAGGTTTTCCTTCAGTCAGAGTTCCTGTCTGAGAATTACAGGCAGAGATCATGTTTTTATTACCAATAAATTACTACATATCTTTTGATTTTAGCTGTGTAAGTAAACATTGCAACAAAGTACTCAATTGAAGAACTATTTAACACCTTGTCCAGCATGACATGATCCACGCCTGCCAAGCGTTCCAGTACATCTCCTCCTCTAATAAGAAGTCCTTTTCTTGCTCCTGTTTGGTTTCAACAGAAAAATACAAGTTAAGTAATTTGACAATCTATTAGGCTACATCATGAAGAAAAAAAACTGCCCATTAAACTAGAGGGGGAAAAAAGGCGAGTATAAAATCCAAGAAGTGGCTTTTTGAATGTTGGTTGTGCCAGTGTTTCCGAAATCCAAATTAAAGAGAGTAGCAGACTACCATTTGATGAAACTCGCACATTAAGCTGAAACGTCTGCACGAATAGGTTTTGAATAAGAGGCAAAATTCCTCACTGGAGGAGTCTCCTCAACTCTGGCCAACTTTACTCGAGGGACCTTAAACATAAGCACCACGATATTTCTGTTTTTAATGTATTTTTTAATATGGTAAACCTCACCCCCCAAGCCTCTTCCACTGAGTCAACAGTGGCCCTTTTTCACTTTGCTCTCTTGGTAACTTGAACTCCCAACGTCTTGATTGGAAGTAAAGTGCTCTTGCCAAATGGGCAATCTAACTTGCCATTACATTAAAAATCAAATCTAATGAGTCTTTCCACTAATCCTTTTATCTTCTTCTTCATCGTGTAATTTTATTTTTATCTTTTGCTCCTTCCCCTCTTTTAGTGACATCATGAAGAATCCGGGATGAAGACATAGACCCATAGTGTGAAAGAGGTAAGAGAGTGCCATCTGCAATGTTAACAGAATCTTTGATAGGGCAGGGACACCTTACATTCTTGAACCGATAACCATCTGTTGGCTAACCTAGCCTCCTCCATCCCTCGGGATACTTAGATAAACCTAATGCCCCAAATGAAAAGTGTCACAAAGGTCTCGTAAAAACTTTGGCCATGGTGGCTCTGCAAATATTATTCTCCATATTATCCAGCAAACTCTCTAATCCCTATACAACCATCCAGTACTCGTAATGCCTTTGTGTACCACATGATGAGTCCCTTGGCTGTCTTAAATTTGAAGTATTCAAGTCCAGATCGTTAATTGAAGATAAAGGTTTGACATTCTCTTCTCTTTTAGTTGCGGTTTTTAAAGAAATTAACTGTGAACCTAACTCACCCTAAAAGCTAGCTCATGAGAGTAGTATCACCCAACACCATATAGGACTTGACACTCCTCTACATACCCAGGACTAGATAACTCGAGTGTAGATAACATAACACGGGGGGCCAACATTGAAAAACACAACAACAAAGGCCGACGGGCTTGACTCTAATACCGTGTGAAGAAATGGACCTTGAACATAACTCAACCCCAAAAGCTCGCTTATGAGAGGCGGATTGCCCAAGACCCATATAAGGAGACCACAACCCATTCCCCTCAACCAATATGAGACTTGACACTTTTGAAGGGGATTTCATCACGTGATAACAATAGTATCATGAAAAGTGACAGCCCTGGGTTGTAGGATTCCTGTCATGCAACAACATTAAAATTT